ATACTAAAAATATTCATGAAATTTGTAGATTAATTCTGAATTAATGAAAAAATTCTTTTTAAGATTTTTATTCTTTAATCTCATTCATGAACTATACAAAAACAAAAAGCAGTTAAATATGCATATTTTATAAGTACCACCAAAACAAAGGAGTTTTTTTTTTCTGAAGTGAAAGCAAAAAATTGTTTTAAAATATTTGCCAAAAATTGGGAAATTATCCAAGTCAAAAATTTCCAGTACTTATTCATTAATGAATGAATATTTTACTGATTAGGTTTTTTTATTAAAACATTTTGGAGAAATTTTTTCAGGTGTGTGTTTTACACCCCTCTTTGAAATCATATGTGTACTTTTTAATTTGGTAGGTGTGCTTCCAATTTTTTTACAGTTATATCAAGGAAAACTATGAAAATATTATTTCGGTAAAAATTTATGCAACATCAAGTGCAAACATAGAGAAAATTTGTCTGATATCTTACTAAAAATAATTTAATTCAAAAAATGATTTTTTTCATGAAATCAGACTTGCATAATTTAATGAAATACATTATTTTCTGTCAGACTGAACAGAAATTAAAAAAATCTACACCTAATAATTATTTTTTTAAAAATGACTTGTAATTTTTCGCTCTGATTTATAAATTCATCCCATTGTTGTTTGTCACAAGAATTTATTCATTATACAATGTTTAATAAAAGCATATACAGAATAAAAAATTGATATTCTTAATCTTAAAGTATTGGTTTTAAGGTTATAGAAAACAAACAAATTATTGATTAATTGTTCTGATTGTCTTCCGTATTTCATTAAGTTTTATTTTTACTTTTTCCCGCGCTTTTTGGTACAGGAGAAGAATTACAGTATTTCCATATTATCCTTTGACCTCACAAGATACCATAAATAAAACATTATTTTCATTCTGTTTGAATTAAAAGGTAAGCATTACTTTTAGAAAATCCAGCTAATTAATTCTTAAATTTACTAACAGACTTTGAAACGTCTCTAGGACAAATCATTTGTCACAAATGTTTGTTTAAAATAATTTTAAATACATTTTTTTTTCCTATATAATGGCGGCTCCATGAATGACAAAAACGTACAAACGCTTTAAAAATGCCTAAAAATTATTTATATACGCCACAAAACTGTTGTTTTTTTTTTTTACTTTTAATTCGGGTTAGCTTTTATAGAATCTCTCAAGTCAAATAGAACCAAAATTTATGTTCCAAGGTAGGTTTTCGATTTTTTTTTTTTTTTAGAAAGCCCGTGGCGGTACCTAATTCTTCTTCATAATCTTATTCTTCTTAATCCCAAGAAACTCGTTGTTTCCGTATTTTTTAGCCTCATCATCTTTATAGGGGAAAAAGAAAAAAAAAAAGAAAAAAAGTCTGTCAGAATAAAGAGGGCACTGATTTCTTTTAAAAAAAAGTTCACATATCCTTGTCCCGGGGATTGTTTCTGTTTGAGTGTTTTGCTAGTTTGTAAAATTTTATTTCCTTTTTCGACCGCGAGTGGTAATGGCTTCAGAACTTTGCAATTACTCCCGATATCAACTTTGTGCAATAAAAATTTAATTAAACAAGAAGACATTATTATTTTTACGTCAGTTGTTGAAGTTCAAAAAATATTTTTATTCAGTCCTTGCTGTAGAAATCAGTGTATATACTTGTGGTGATTGGTATGGTCCAGCAAAATGATGATGAGATCATTCTAAAAATAACATTGCCATTTCGGATAATAACATAATCTTTCATTAATTTAAATGGAAAAGCGAAATAACCACTGTCACCAAACTATTTTTTAGTCGACTATCTCTATCAATCCGACAAACATTCACTGTAAGTGTGTAAAAGAAGAAGGAATTTTGTTGGATTGATACAACAAAAACAGTAACAGCTAAAAAAAAGTCACAGACATTCGCCATGATAGAAAATCTTTATTTCATTATTAAATTTTGACTATTTTTTCAAATTAGTTAGAAATAAATAAAAATATTATCTCAAAAATGTAATTTAAAAGTAAAACCGTAAAATTAAAATACTACAAAAATGAAAAATAAACACTACCGGTGATTAACGAAAATTTTCCCCAATTAAATAAAACCCACCTTGCAAAGATTTACTTTAGCTTCCCCAAACCCCAATAAATCTATCTTTACTTACCCAGATTCAGATTCAACTTCTGCATTTTCTTCATTTTTTATTACAACAAATGATGGTGGAATGGTAACTGTCTGGTCGTTAAACTGGCTTATTCCAAGATTAAAGATTTCGGTCGGTTCTTTTCGAGATACTGTAGCTTGAATTTTCATCCAGTTGCGTACTTTAGCAAGCTGAATTTGCGATTCATCTGCAGCATGATTATGTGGTTTAATAATCTCTGGATTTTCGAGATTCAAACCCGTTGTTAAACTGCCCCGACATTGACCACTGGATCTTTTGACACACTTCCACCATAATTTGGTTTTGCGAGCAATTTGTTTTGTATACATGAATCCTTCGTAACACAATTTTGCACCCCCTTTATTACTGTTTATAATTTCCATGATGACGGGGGGGAGTGGAAGCTTCTAATTTCCACACAAAACAAGTTGTTTGTTCTTCTTCTTTCTTATTGTTTTATAAGTTATTCTATTTCTTTCGGGTCTTTTCTGTATTGTTAAATTATAATTATTGTCCGTTTTACTTTTATAATAATTAAATAATCAACTATTTTAAGATAATTCCACTTGGAAGCATTGGTTATTAAATCGTTTTGTAGTCTGAGCTCCCAGGGAAAAATGGCACAGCCGAAAAAGGAAAAAAAAAAGACACGAAAAGGAAAAAGTCACCGGCAAAATGTCACAAAAGGTTACGCATTTCTTCCTTGTTTTTTTAGTTTATTGACCGTGACTCATATTTAAAATTAAGTATCATTTTTAAAAATTTTGATCTGACAAAGTTTTTTAGCAATGTAAAAATAATTACATAAGTTACTAAAAATTATCAATGCTTTCAAATTTTTTATGCTTCTTAGCTTACGAAATTTCAATTTTATCTTTTCTTAGCCTTACAATGTCCATTGTAATGCCTACTTTTATTAGTAAGAATAATTTTATTTAATAATCGGAGAAAAAATATCAATTATTTAGAAATAATATTAAAAAAAAAGTCACAAAGAAAAACCAATCAAGGAGTAAATACTGTTGGATTTTTTTAACAATTCCTTTGTAGTTTTACGAGGGTTTCTGAATAATTCTCTGCAATGTTAAAATGACAAGATATTTGGTTGCGTCGAGAAAATTTCAGCTTTTGTCGTAAAAAGATTAGAGTGCTGAAAACGGCAAAAAAAAAATGTCTTCTATTTTTTATTTATTATACTGGTCCACGGCACCAGAGGCAGATGTTGATAGTATGGCAATAGTAGTTGAATGAATTCTCACCAATAACTCCTCTTGTTACACAGCAGACAGTAGCTATGTGGGAGTTTGGTAAAATACCTTCTGATATGAAACTACATACGAGGTGTCATTGAATTTCTCCTTGCGGAAAAATAATCACACGTACAGACATCCAACTATTTTTGCTGAACATTTACGGAGATCAAACAATGGATGAGAGCTCAGTTATGCAATGAGTAATGTGTTTTGGTCTGTAACAAGCAACTCACTACTGAGTACGACATTGTAGACTCGTGTTTATTGTCATTTGGAATCGGGGGTAGGGTGAATACAAAACTTTATTATAGTTTTAATTTAAAAAAGCGATGCAAATAGGTGGTGGGGGGGAATCAAGTCTGTAGAAGGAAAACAAATTACTCGACGTAAGCTGCTGAATCGAAAAAATATAACAAAAAAAGAAACTGTAACAGTGAAAAAACTTATTCTACCTAGTATGAGTAATAATGAATGTCATTGGGTTCCCATAATAAAAATGAACAGTTGAACACTTACTTAACAGAATGCATTATTTTCGGAGTGTCCACTGTTCCACGTGTGCTCTTTATTCAGAAAATACATCGTTCAAAAAATAATAATAATGACAAAATATATTTTTCATAAAATTTACAATACATGATCCACATTTTTATTTTTAGAAAAATAAATAACGTTTTTTGTCAACTTACAATGGCCAGATTTTTCACGGGGTGGGAATTAAACTTCAGTAGATTTCTCTGGCACACAGAACGAAAACGCATTTCATGCGGGTCAGTTAAACTAAACACTTTCCGTCATTGCCGTAGACATTAAGGCGTACGCATGACCTTAAAGTAAAACTGTAGGGTTCTATCTCTAAAGAAATGTGAGCTAGGTATCATTGTGGCTTCCAGCAACAAACGAGCAGAATAGAAATCCTATTTGACTACAACCAATATAGGATTTTATTTAAATTTATTCTAATCGTGGCATGTTGATGTTTATATCGGAACGTCACAATAAAGAAAGAAAAGTAAAGAGATTAGCGAGAAACTATAAAAGCTAAATAAATTCGTTACTGAGTGTATTGGAAATTTTTAAATTCATCGGGGATTTTCTGTGATGAAACTTTTTAAAAGTTAAAAAAACAGTTTATAAAACTGTACGTGGCAAATTCAAGAAGAGCTATATGTATTTTTTTAAGTTTATGTCAGGTGCATAAAGAAAAGAGTCTCAAACTCAAACACTTATATTCTGCAATTTTAAGCAAATTAGTTGGTAAATTAGGATTTTTTTTTACCTTTTTAAACAAAAAACACCCAAAAAACAATCAAAATCAGTTACTTTTTAAAAAGTACCATTTCCAAAAAGGTGACAAAAATAGTCCGTTTGATGACGTTGGTTTATTTTTTTCGCTATGTAAAAATAAAATCGTACTATTTTGCCTTGGCGATGTCAGTGTGTTTCACTGTTTAGTGTTTAGCAATTATTCTGTAATAAAAATAATAAATCGTTTGTCTCCTCAACTATTTCCTATATTTCTTTTCTCTTTCCAAACAAAAAAAAAAGTTTAAAAATTTCTATTTAGTTTTTAAAATTACTTACCCCATTTTACTGCTGTTGTGATGAGATTTTTCTCTTTCGTAACTAGGAATTGGATTATGAATTTGTGCAAAGAAGTCGGATTTAACGTGTGCCAGTCGATAATAATAATTATGATTACACACGAAGTTAGATTTCGTGATGGAAATGACGTCAAAAACGCGGCGATCACATCTACGCACTATGGTAGGAAATGTATTTAAAATAAAAGAAAACATAGATAGTTTTCTGATGGATAATAAAATTGAACATACATTAATAATCTAATTGTTTAAATTAAAAGGAGGGGGTGCTAAATTGCCAAATCCAACTCTACCAAATCTTTCTAAAAAGTGAAAAATTTTACACAAAAATATTCCATACAAAATTTACTTTTAAATGTTAATTTATGCAATTTATTTGTACATTGCTATTTTAGTGGGTGAATTTCATTTTTCAAAAATTCTATAAATAGTTTTTGACAAACAATAAAGAATGTTAATCAGGATCAAACTCATTTGTATACCCTGTCAGCTGGGGCTTCAGAATACGCCTACTGCACCTCTGTAAGTCCCTCCCACCCAATAAGGTGTCCTGGGTATGACGATAAACTACGTTGTGAAATTTAAATCATACAGTACATAACCTAAGCGTTTTTCACTTCACAGGTAAAATATTTAACTTTCAAATGAACACAACAATTTTGTCTTAGGGTCTGTCTATATTTCTGAGATGAGGTATTATGTACAGTATTTACATTAGTCGGACTATTGTCCTAATCTTTGTCGCCATATTTGTCACAACGTTTTCGGGTTGGAATTTCGAACTGAACCCTTTATTTCGATCGCTGGGGTAGACTGTTCTAGTTCCATGTGCCATGTTTGATGGATGTCAGTTATCAGTTATCTCCTGCTAATTTTTCCCTCTGAAAGTTCTCCACTGCCTTAACCAGGAATTGAACTCACCTTTTTTGGGTCTGTCACTGGATCTAACCAACGCCTTTATCCACTGTGCCATGTGTCCTTGAGTATGAACTTCTGAGTATTATAAACCTAATGTTTTCAGCATCATTTTTACCAGTGCTCATATTGCAATTTTTTGCTGTTATCATTGAATGTCTTTACCAGAGTTCATATTGCAACTTTGTTATCATTGCTTTTCTCTGGCACTCCTTATTACTGGTTCCCATATTGTATTTATTTCTATGCTTGGTTGGCTCAGGAGATTTTTGTGGCCTAGCATATGTGCTGATTCCTTAAGTTTACGAATTTTCCAATGGTGTTCCCTGTCTATGATCTCAACATGATCCCACAGGGGCGGTGATCTCCTTCTCTCTCCATATGTGGTCAGCCACGCCTGATTTTTCTACTTCCCCTCGCGTTACAGCTTTCTGGTGTTCTTGAAGCCTTACCTTAAAGGGGCCCTGTCTCTCCTTTATATTCCTTTCCGCAGCTGCACGGGATAGCGTACACAGTCTTTAGTCATGTTCCTCTCTATGGGGGTCTCACTCGTGAGAGATACCTGCAAGTGTTGTCACGCTTTTGAAGGTTGTCCTGATGTTATATGGACCGCAGATCCTTTGTATTTTCTCTGACAACCCCTTCACATAAGGCAGGCAGACTGTTTTCTGAGTGTTGTCTTAGAAAAAACAACACCCTGATGATGACATTATGCTAATGTCGAAAGTACTCAAAATAAATGAATATTTATCAACATGGTAATTTTCTCTCTTCCTTTAATAAGGATACTAAGAAGCTTGTCCATGAATATGAGGATCCTATTGAAATTAAGTAGACAAAACTTGTCTAAATTATTCAATGAGACATGTCTTATTAAAAAACATGCTGCCAATATATATATTATATACACACACACACACACACACACACAGAGTGTGTTTTAGACCACTCAGCCACAAAGGACTTCACAGTGTAACATGTTAAACAGCATGTATGAAAAACTTTATCAGCAGAAATAACCTCTTTTCAGCTTTGCATAAAAAGAAAAAACTCTGAACATGTGTGCTGTAGATCAGAAGAATTCTTTATCATTTTGGGCCGAGGTCGCAACAGTATACTAAAGTTAGCACTCTGTACAATAAGACATACATGGCATAGAGAGTACACCTCACTCACTCGCTAATTCACCAGCTGAGTAAGTTCAACTTTTCCTTCATTATTTACAGAGACTCTTAAGAAAATTCCTTGAAATTTTCTCTATGCAAAAGATGATCTCAATAGAATAGAAATCTCTTTATTTCATGTTAACTTTACAACAGCAAAGCAAGGTTCAATTTCCTTCATGAAGAAAAGCATATTTCTTGTTAAGATAATCAAATAAGTTTTGCTGAAGTTTGAAGATAACAGATAAGGTCTGTTATAGCATATATGTGCATATATGACACGTGGTCAATCTGGGGTAAATCCTGGTCATGGTACCAATTATAACACTATCTTGCTGGTCAGTCCTGGGTCAATTCCTTTGCTGGTCAATGTGGTGGCCAATTCATTGACCACCACAGTTTGCACCCTGCTCTACCACATGCTTTTTGATCTTTGTGCTGACAAAGACTGAGTTGCCATCAGCAATCACAACACTGGTTTGAATCACAGCAAAGCTGTGTCACAAAGGAAAAATAAAAAAAAAAGTTCTTTGCAGACAAAGTAAAAGACAGAAAATTCTTCAGGTCAGTTGTTGGTGTGGTTTATATTGTTCTTTGTACAGAAAAATTAACCCTTTCCACTTTTAATTCTATCATGACACTGCACATTTTAGCTAAATATAGAACAAGGCTTAAGTCAGGAGTTCTCTTTGGCAGCAAGTTACTTGGGCTTTGGTAGCATGATCATCTCTTGACATCTGATCCTCCAACTGCAACTCATTTTGTTGCTTCAGTGTTCTGCTTATATTGACTTTTACTTTAGACTGTCATTGGGGATGACAGTGTTTCCCTGATCTTCTAACAGGAGTTCATTGTTGTCTGGTTTTGGAAAATTAATTATCTCTCCAAATTTAGGGGATCCCTTCTTCCTATGTGTATTGGTTGCAGGTAATGGCTGGCCCGTTTCCCTTATTTATACCTCACACCTCTCAACGGGTGTAGGAAATTCTTCCATCTCTCTTAGTATCTCATCTAAGCCTTTCACCTCGGCTGACATTTTAACAAATCTGATTTTTAAACTGTATGGCATGGCTTAGCTTCTGGTCATTAATTGTAGTTATTATTTTAATTTAAATCAACAAATTTTTCCCAACCTGGTCTTATTTATATAATTAGAACTTTGCCATCTGTTTCCTCTGGCAGCTATCACCCATATCTTGTCAACTCTATCACACTTATAAACCCTGGGCTGGGTCTTTACATAAAGAAATTCTATTTCTCGATTTGTTTACAATTTTCACTTTTTGATAGGGGGAATAAATCAGTTTCTCAACTTCTGCTTTTGTCTTTAAAAATTACCAAATTTTATCTCCTCAATCAACCTTCTTTTTTCCGGCTGGTCCTTAGGAGATGTTTTTGTAAGTTCCACTTTAAGGCAACACCATCAATCAATCATCAGTCCAGCTTTTTCCAGATGACCGCTTTGGTAATATCTTTCAACAAAGCAACAAAGTCACTTTCTTCAACTCGTCTTATTTGAATTTGAATGAGATAATAAAAGTGAATTCATTTAACACATTGATTGCCAATCATGTGATAACTTGTAGTTATCAGTTTTTATTATAACGCTGACTACAACTTATCTTTTGCCAACTACGAGTTATCACATGTTTAGCATTTTTCAATACATTTTCATCTGCGGACGCCAACAATGAATTTATTAGCAGACATACTTTTAGTATGAAAACAATGTTAAGGTTTCAGTCAAATCAAACAAAAAAAAAAAAGATAAAGATAAATGACAACTTCAAATAATAAAAACCTAACAAAAAACAAATTTAACATTTTCAAGATAATTTCACTGAATATTCAAATAGTAACCTAATAATAATTCAAGCAGTAACCTAATAATGGATCATTTTTCTACTTATATCTAATTCAGAAGTTCAAAGCACAAAATTTCTCGAGGTCCAGGGAGTTATTAATCAAATTTGTTATTTTACTGAACTAAATCCTATACCAGTTTCTTTGTATTGTCTTATGAAACATCAGAGCTGTAACTAAGGTAGTCTTTATCTGGTCAATGTCAGATTTTGCTTTGTCACCCATTTGTTGGTAAACTGAAAATGCTCCGCCTGTAAGTTTCAAAAGGATCACATGCTCCAAAGACTTCACTTAGTCTGCAAACAAGTTCCAGCTTCTCTATCCATTCAACCACTGGTAGACTAGATGCTGATCCGTCAAACTCAGGAATTAACTTTAAATTGAATTTGGGGTCTGCTATCATCCATCAATCACCGAAATAGCTTGTGTTCATCTTGTCTGGTTTTCGCACATCCACATGCTCAGAGTGCTAAACTTACAGTCCGTTACTCATCCCACCCATCAAGAACACTAGTTTTTTCTACTCAGCCAGGTATACATCCATGGATTTGCCATACCGCAGGTGTCGTTCAATGAACTGTTTGTACGCCATAAATGAATCCGTAGCAAAGGCTGTAACTAAGGCAGTCTTTAAAGGTCAATGTCAGATTTTGCTTTGTCATCCAGTTATTGGTAAACTGCAAATGCTCCACCCGTAAGTCTCAAATGAATCCAACATTGATCAGATAAAGACTGCCTTAGTTACAAGCTATTTGTACGTTATCGTCTGTCAATTGCCAAAATAGCTTGTGTTCATCTTGGCAGGCACTCTCAATGTGCAAAAACCAGACAAGAGCAAACATAAAACATAGAGAAACAATTAGAGTTTATGACAGTAATTAGCTTACAAAGAACATGATGTGTTGAAACATTCTACTGATAGCAGGAAGATATAAAAAAAGTTTATTTAATAGAAGGAAGACGTTTTTATAGTCCATTAATAATTGTCATAATAGGAGCTAGCTTGGTAATTTGAAAAAAAAACAGGAACAATTTACATAAGTT